ACCAAATTCTTGTCTCAGATATTTAAGGCAGGGGCTGGGGAAATAACTTAGTGGGTAAGGACCTGAGTTTGATTCTCCAGAATCTGCATCAAAAGCAGGGCATGGCTACAAGTGTCAGTACTGGGGGTGGGAGACAGACAGGTCCCAGGGACTTCCTGGTAGCTAGGATAGCCAGAATAGCTTCAGGTTTAGTGGGAGACCCTGTCTCAAGGCTGTGAGGCAGAGAGCAATAGAGGAAGAAATCCAACATCCTATTCTAGCCTTGGCTTGGGCACATATTCAGTGCATACACATTAAAATATTTAAACAATTATAGGTAATGATAAAATACAGGTTTTGCAGTTCATTACATAGTGGGGTGGGGGGAAGTAGGCATTTGTTACATGCTTAGCATTAACTAAGTACTTGCAGATGGACAGATCAATTAATACCTGAAGTTTCCTGGAGTATAGGCTTCCTTGTGACACCCTGAATTAATTTTTGTGGTGCTAGGGATCAATCAGGACCCTATATAATAGGAAAGTGTTGTAGTGCTAGCTAAACCATGCCCTAGTTCCCATGCTTTGGATAAGGATAAATCTTTTCGCCAGCTGCCACAAGCTCCGCCGCCCCGTGGGCACCCAAAATAACACACAGAGATTATGGGAAATGCAGTGAAGAGAAGTTTTGTGATCCAGGCAGGAAGTGACATAGCAGGCAGACTCAATATAAGCAGGGACAAGCAAGAAATCGCTGTCTTCCTCCTCTCTTCTCTGGAGTCGCCATGTGATCCCAGGAAAAGGACTCATTCCGCTGGCATCCTCAATAAGGTAAGTCTTTATAAAATATATAGATTAATAGTTATGGTTGATAATTAAAACTGAACTAGCATATTAAGAAATCCTAGTCATTGGCCAGCAGCATTGCACCTAATACTAATCTCTGTGTGTTATTTTGGATGCCCATGTGGCGGAAAGACTTATCGTTACAGCCTAAGGCTTTGGTTAGATCTCTGACATCGCACGCACGCACGCACGCACGCACGCACACACTCACACCCTTAATTAAAGTTAATGAAAAAGATCAAAATGTCCTGATTCTTGCAATCTGGAAAGGCTGGGAGATACAGTCCTCTAGCGAGTGTTCCTTTCCCCCATTCTTAAATGGCATTTGGCCACTCATCTGAGTTCATATGCTTCCTATTCTAATTACTCTAGTAGAGCGTAGGTTTTATAAGCTACAGACTCTGCAGAGTCCCATGGTAGAAATTGCAAAGAGGCAGGCCCAGTGTACATGTGAGGGACCCCCAAGGGTCTGCATGCCAACTGTGCACCTTCCCAGTTCTTCCTATTTGTACTTCCCTTATTAATATCTAACCTTCAGTTCACCAAACTGGCTTTGCCATGCCTTGTTCTTTTTCCCTTTGGTTTTGTTTGTTTGTATGTTTGATAAGCTTTCTCAAAGAACATAGGCTGGCCTGGGGGTAGGGTCTCCCTGCCTCAGCCTGCTCAGTGCTGGTATTGATTGCACCTGTTTGTTCTGCTTTTAGCTGGAGCTGTCTTGTCTCTTCCCTTTGTCTTAATTGTTTCCCCTTTCTATTCACTGTTCCTTCTCTGTTCTAATATTAATTGCTGGACTTGCTCTACTTGTTTCCTTTCTGTCCCCACCTTTAAATCTTAGATTACACGAGACTGTCCACATTCCTTTACTCCCTTCCAAGTTAGGGAAGTTGAAAAGCACTTTAAATATATATATAGTGGGATTATGGATGTGTAACAGCACAGCAGCTAGAATGAACCGCTAGAGTGAATGATTGGAGATTATTTCAAGTGATGTTTGGTGGAGCATCTTTTGAGGCAGACCAAGATTACTACTCAGCTAAACATATATCTCCAAATGTCCAAAAGCTAGTGTGAGTAGAATAATACAATTTTCAGAATTTTTTTCTAAGCCAGAGGCATATTAAATCAGAACATTAGCCTTGTCCAAGCATTTGTTCTTAATGCAAATTATTGGGCCCAGTTTTACAGGGTCACAATATCCAGGTTTAGTGATATGTACCTCTTAAGTGAATCCTAGATAATTAAGATTTAACACACACACACACACACACACACACACACACACACACAATTTTTAAAAGAGTACTTTGTTCTTTTACCTCATGTGTGTGTGTGCGTTTGTGTGTGTGCGTGTACCTGTATGTCAGAGGTTTTGGATACACCTAGAGCTGAAGTTATAGGCAGTGTGAATTGTCTGAAGTTGGTGCTCAGATCACATTTCAGGTCCTTTGCAAGACCAGTACACCTTAGTTGTTTAGCCATCTCTCCAGCCCCTGAACATTCAACTAAGCATCCAACAGTGATCCTGTCACTTGCTAAAGTGGGATATGTAACAAATTTTAGAATTATCACATTTGAATTCTGTGCATCATGAAAAAATACAAAACTGGAATTTTGAATTAATTTGAATAATAATGTGATCCAGAACCACTAGCTAATCCAAATAAATCTAGATGTTATATTCAGTTAAATCTGTCTTGCTGTTGAGTGGAAGCCAGTACTTTGTCCATGATAGTCACTCACTCTACCACCAAGCTAAATTAGTTTCTTTGTTCCGTGAATAAAACTTTACTTACAGAAGTACAAGTTGAGGGGTGGGGAGGAATTTAGGAATCATACATTAATATATGGCTTTCCCCAAATAATACTATCATCAGTTGTCTCCCATCAGTGATCTCTTTTTACTATTGCTGTTGGCACAGTGTGTCACTATACTTAGTTCTGGTTGGCCTTGAACTCACAGTCTTTCTGAGTTTTGAGATTATGGTCAGGCATCACCATGTCCAGCAAAATCTTTCTGGGACTAAGCTATTACATCATTCACAGTGCTATTTGTTGTGTAATTTCCCTATATTCACTCTACTGCCGTAAGTAGAAGAGTTGTGGTTCTCAGATTTGAGCTGCAGTTAACATTCTTCATCTTGTTTTTGAGCTGGTAATTGAGTGTTATAGGGCTTCAGGCGAGCCTCATGATCAATTCATTGTGTCGCTGTCTATTGGCGTAGATGCCCAAGTTATCGTTCTTATGGTGTGAGGTGCTAGTCTAATGTCTTCACTAGTATTAAGGAAGGCCTCTGATTCTTTGCTTCCTTTCTTGCCCATTAATGGCACAGAACAATTATAGTTGCAGTAAAATTTTAAATCAGTAGCATAAAACAATGTCCTTCCCAGTTATCTAGTTCCCCATTATGAACTGATAGGAAGCTAACATCCAGTGACTGGGCTTAATGGTTCATTAACATGGTTTTTCTCTTAAGCAGCACTTTTATAATATGGTGTGGTGCTTGAGTTAAAAAAACATTTTTAAATAGTATATACTTCAAAGCATACCACTTAGAAATGGCTTACAATTTAGGGAAAGTATTTTCATTGTGGATTTTTTGATGTATTTACATATTAGTGTTTTGCCTGCATGTATGTATGTATGTGTGTGTCCTAGGTACATGCCTGGTGCCCATGGAGATAGAAGAGGGCATCTGATTCCTGGAACTGGAGTCCTGGATGGTTGTGAGCTACCATATGTGCTGGCAAACCTGGGTCCTCTGCAAGAGCAGTAAATGCTCTTAATCACTGCACTGTCTCTCCAGGCCTCATGTGGTTATGCACATACCACAGTGCATGTGTGGAGGTCAGAGTACAACTTGTAGGAGTTGGTCTTCTCCTTTCACCATGTGAGTCCTAGGGATTAAACTCAGATCGTCAGGTCTGGTGTTAAGTGCTTACTGCTCATCCTTCCAGCCCTTGTGGAATATTTTTAGCATTTTTATAGTCAGTGAAATAATTGCTTTTTCAAATAAGCCAGTGAAAGGCATGCAATTTTAGGTTTAGATGTTACTCTCAGTCATATATGAAATACTTATGAGGTCTATTTTTGGCAGTTAATGACCTCTGAATACTCCAGTGCTTTGTTATGCCATTTCAAGTTTGTAAACATTTGTCAAACATTTGCTTAAAATACTTGGTTTTTGCTTTCTTTGTTCTCTTGGTGCACCTTGTGGATCTAGACAGTGAGTGTTTATGATACCACATTGCACTGGAGATCTTTTAAAGTTTTGAAAATATTTTTTGAATGTGGGCTTTTTTTTTTTGTATGCTGCTGAAATTGTCATTCATATTTTATCTTCTCTAAAACTCCCTCTGGCAAGTGCACTTTCATTGGCAAAAGGAAAAATTGAAACATTTCTTTAGTAATTATTTGCAAGTGTTGGAATTTTTTTTTTAAGTCTTCCTAAGAAGACATCCTATCATTATCCTAAAGATCCAGCAAAATTAATGCTCAAAATTTTATTACCCCAAGCTCTTTTGAAACCAGAAAATAATGCATTGAAAGACTCCCCAGTTGCTCATTTTGTCTCAACTCCCACCATGTTCCCCTTCGAAGGACCAAGTCATGTCCCTTGTCATGTCCCTCATAAACAGTGCTTCTGGCAGCACTGTTAGCTATGTGGGGCTGCAACAGAATCGGTGTGTTTCTTTACTATCTATCTTTCTGGGTGAAAGGCTTGAGGGGTTGCTCACAATCTTCAGGCAGTGCCAATTAATCTGTAGTGACCAGTAAGGAGGTACATGTTACCTAAGACACACTGCAGAATTTCAGATCTAAGTCACGAGGGGCTCCATAGTGACAGCATGGGTGCTGCAGACACAGCTGGCTTAGCACTGCTGCAGTGCTTATACTTGTTAGCCTAATTCTTAATTTCATACACCACTTGCCTAGCATGCAAAGTCCTGAGCTCAGTCTCCAGAAGGGGTGTGGAAGGGGCAGATATTTATTTTTGCTTTCAAAATGTGAAAATGCTCATAGTTTACTAGTATTGTTATGCATCTGACTGACTGAGGAAATAGACTTGACTCTTTTTCTACATTAGCAATAAAGTTATTGACAATGGAAGAAACCTTCATGAGTGAAGATCTCTGTTTCCTTCTGAAATAAAAGACAATAAAAACTGAAGGAAATGCTACCATTGAGTATCCACTATACCTTTATTATAAGAACTGTCATAGCTTTTAGTGCCCTTTATTACGTTTACTCTTTTGTGTGTGGGGGGTGGGGCGGGGCACTCATGTGCAGGCCAGAAAACACCTTGTAGAGTGGCTTCTGTCTGCCCTGTGGTTCCTGGAGATTGAATACAGTTCAGGCATGTGGCAGTGCCTTTACCCTTGAGCCATCTCTTCAATCTGGCCATTTGTTTTTTCTTCACATTCACCCAGGGAAGCCCCAGTCACTTGGTTTAATGAGGCATTTTCTGCATAAGCACCGAAGGATGCCCAGAAGAGCTTGCTTTTGGATCTAGTCTCCCTGTGCTCAGACATCCAGTGAGGACCAAAGCTGTTAACTTGAGTCTCAGAAAGTGCACTAGGCAGTCCTTTCAAAGGCCTGTCTTTTCACAGAGAGGAAAGGAAGTGCCTGAAGTCCAGCTTTGGGCTCTTCTCAGATGCGTTCTGACTAAGCAGCGCTTTTAGTTGAGAGAAGTGTTTTTTTCTTTTGCTCCCGTTCCTTGAGGAGCAAATGGGTGTTGACTGTCCAGATGCAGGTGTTCTGAAACGAGAGAACAACTACTGTTAACACATCACCAAAGGACAAAACATTCTTCACTGAGAGCACTGCTCCCAGCATCTTCTACTCACTAGAAGGTCTTCTACCACACTCTGCATTGCAGTTCTGTGTGGGCACTGGCTGTCCTCATCAAGGTAACTCTCGTTAACAGCAAAAAACTCATGGAATATTGGATTCTGGCACCACTGAGGTGCCGCCCTGGATCGTTTGGAAAGTATCTATGATACCTGAAGGATAAACCTAGAGGTAATGTTATTAGGCAGAGTTCTTTACACTTGACTGCAGCATTCATGACAATCCTAAATGAGAACTTTAAAAACATTACATCCTTACAACTGAAGACCACTTCATTCTTCTACAGTGAAAGGCCTTGGGGAGGCACCATTCCACCATGTCTTCCCGCTAAGCATGGCAGGGCCACAGGACAGGCACTAGCCTATTAAGTCTGTATTCTGGTGCTTTCAGGTAGTGCCAGGTACACAGGAAACATTCCACAAACATCTACATTCCATTCAACATCTAGTACGAGTTTTCATGTGGGTGCTGGGGATCTGAACTTGGGTCTTCATGCTTGCAAAGCAAGGACTACCAACTTCATGAACCCTTTCCCCAGTGCCCCAAATGTAACTAAACTGTAAATATACCAAATTTTTATTCACATTTGCACAAAAAGTAAAATACTCTGTTGAATTCTTACACCAAATATTGACTAAAATCAATAATATACATAAAACTAGATTTAACATTTTAACCCAGTATCATAAACTTCAAGGTCAATAGAATTCAAACATTAAACAGAAATAATCCAGTCCTTGCAAGATTTTGTTTATGCTCAAGACATTGATCACATTCAGTTCCTTTTGTAACAATGTATTCTAAATTCTTCACACAGTATCTGGAATTGCATTTAAATGTATGACTACCACAATGACAAAAGACTGAGGAGTCCTAAAATGAAAACTTGGCATATCTGGCAAATCTCTATTCAGTTATATTTCAGCAAGAATTTGTGACAAAGGAAAGAGTAACAGTTTGAAAACATTGTGTGAGGATATCAGGTTTGGTGGCAGAGAGTAAGCTGAGAGCACACTCGACAGGCAGGTGCAGGGCTGGGAAGCCATGATCACATATTTGACCTAAGCCACAGAGTCGGGGCTAAAGGCTGCACGTTAACCAGATCACTGTCCTAGCCCTCACAAAAGGTAACGGAGGACCTGGCCCAGGACAGCAGCAGCAGGAAAGAACAGGTACAAACTGGCAACAAAGACTAAAGTGTAGAAGCTGCCGATCCTCCTGCCCATTTTAAGTAGATTTGCATAGAAGGGCATTTTGTTCAGAGCTCAACAGAAGGAAGGGAAAACTTGGTAGTTGGCTGTGGTGGATATATGTCAGGTGCTGGGAAGGACTGCATAGGAGCCATATGCATTGACTTAAGAGTTGAAGATTAGAAGTATTAGATAGCCAAAGGACACAGAAGAAAATTTGCCAAGGCTAGTACCACATAGAGTACTCAGCATTGCATATTAAGCAGTATTTCATACTTCACAGAAGCTAACAAATTAAGGTACCTGATGGTCAAGGAGGGGCTCTTGCCTTTGGAACTAGACACATTATGACTTGGGTTTGTGGAGCCTGGAGTCTTTCTCTGTGGTGTTTTCAGGTTGGCTTTGTTTGTAGCAGTGGCAGTATTACTCTTCAAGGCGGACAGGAAACTTCTACTCTTCCCATGGTGTTTCATTGTTCTGTTGCATGTTCTACAGGTAACCAGCTACCACAAAAAGAAGTTGGTCCCATGAGTTCTCTGGTAATATAACTCAATAAACCACGGGTTCCCTCAAGTCCTATATCAGCGTGACAGAGGCAAGTTAGCACAGAGGCTACCCCTGGCAGCTTGCAATCTACTAGGAGGATCAGACAAGACAATTAAAAACAGCAGAATTGCCAATAAGGTACTGGCTAAATGTTTATATTTAAATGCTTTAAAAATCCTAAAGAAAAGAACCATAGGCAACTAAGGAATATGGAAAGCAGGAGAAATAGTCTTCCTCAGGGAAGAGCATACCAATCGACTATCTAATACTAAATGGCCAGCCCTGAAAACATAGCCTTATACAGATTGAGCAGGTTATATCTAAGAATATATATGTACATATACATCTGTGCATGTAACAAAGAGGCCATGAATTTGAAAGAGCAATGAGGGGAGGGGGAAATGGCATATTCATATTATGATGTCAAAAATAAAATAATTTTTAAAAATGTAATGAACTGAACTTCCTCAGCATGAAACTGGTTTGTGTGGGAGCTGGGGAGGTGAGACCAGACACTAACATTTGGATATACTTTGTAACAGTGGTAGGGACTGACTATTTTCTGGCTGGTATACTTAGGTTTTTTTCCTCAATAAAACATGGCAGATCCCTGACATTTTAAGTAGTGCCTTCAGATCCACAGTGATTCTATAAATGTTGGTGTGACTAATAAAACCTTTCAGTTTTCGTCATTGTCTCTAGAAGTTAGCTCTCTTCATAGGGTTCAGATTTAATATTTTTTTATATGTATGGATGTTTCCCTGCACGAATATATGTGCACTATGTACATGACTGGTCCCCTTGACGAGACTGGAGGAGGGCACAGAAGGTTGTGTTGGTTAGGAATGGCGGCTGGGAACCAAACAAGCAGCAAATACTTTGAGCGGCTCAGTCATCTCTCCAGCCCCAATAGGATGCATTGTTAAGACATGCTCTACTAACCAGAAAGACAAATATAGTATGTACTCACTCATAAGTGATACCAGACATAAAGCAAAAGATACCCAGCCTTCAATCCACAACTCCAGAGAAGCTAGAACCCTCTTCCATAAACAGATGGAAGCAGATGCAGAAATTCACAACTAATCAATGGGTCAAGCTCCTGGAGTACAATTGAAGTGAGAGAGAACGATAATATGAACAAAGGAGTCAAGACCATGATGGGGAAACCCACAGAATCAGCTCACCCGAGCTAGTGAGAGGTCACTGACTCCAGTCTGACAAATGGGAAAACTACCTAAGACCAAACTAGACTCCCTTAATATAGGTGACAATGGAGCTTGACTGGAACAATATATGATGGCACTGGCAGTGGGTCTAAGATCTAACTTTAATGAACAAACTGACTTAGTGGAGCACATTCTATATGGAGAGATACCTTGCCCAGCCTAGACCAGGGGTGTCGGGATGGAGAGATGCCTTGGTCCTGCCTCCCACGAGATGATGGGACAGACTTAGTAGACTTCCTAGGGGAGGCTTTACCCTTTCAGAGGAGGGAGGGAGAACTGGGATTGGAGTGTAAAAAATAAAGTAAAAATTTTTTAAAAAAAGACACAGTCCACTTGGTACTTAATGCCTTTTCTACATAGCTCATTCACAGACTAGTTAGGCAAGAGGTACTCAGATTTCAAACACAAAAATGCAAATGAAGATCAGTGTGACGGTTTGAATGAGAATGGCCCCATAGACACAGATGCTTGAACACTTGGTATCCAGTTGGTGTAACTGTTTGGGAAGGATTAGGAGGTATATATAGCCTTGGTGGAGGAGATAGGTGTCTTACCAGGGTGGTGGGCTTTGAGGTTTGAAAAGACAGTGACTCCCAGTGTCTCTCTCTCTCTGCTTCAAGGTTGTGGATCAAAATGTGAGCCCTCAACTATTACTTCACTCAGCCTCGGTCGAGTCTAGCTCTTGGGAACTGTAAGCCTAATTAAACACTTTCTTTTATAAATTGCCTTAGTCTTGGTGTTTCATCACCAGCAACAGAAAAGTAACTATAGCAATCTGCATAAAGGCCTGCTGCCTTATAGTTTTGGGGAAAAGGCTACATCTAGATTAAATCAGCAAAACATCCCCGGCACCTTTCTAGTGATCTCTAACTAAAGTACAATAGAGTATAAACTTCAACAAGTAAGACATCATGAAACTTATCTTCCTGTAGGAACGTTTTCCAAGTATGTTACAGTGATGTTTCTAACAATTTCCTATGGCAGAAGGCTCATAACTTGAGGTCAGCCTAGGCTACACAATGGGTTTAAGGCTACATAGTAAGATCCTGTCTTATGGTAACGTCCAGTGCCTACATGCACTTAGGATGATAATGTTCACACAGTACATGCAAGATATAAAATGTATCTGCTATTGGGCTCCATCTAGAAGCCCTAGGGAATTTTTGTTTTATTACATTTTATACCCTGATACTAAACGTTTGCTGGGTGGACAAGTACTACATGCTGAGTTCATACACAGGAGGAAAGTATTGGTCACAACATCCTGTGAGTGACACTGGCAAACACAAGGAATTCTCAAAACTGAAAATCCTGTGCTCAACAGTGAAATGAGTGATGGTAAAACTGTCCATCAATCTTTGGTTTTTTGGTAGTTAATCAAAAATAAAAATAGACTAGCTGGTGTGGTGTCCTGAGCCTTTAACTCCAGGCAGAGACCAGCCTGATCTACAAAGCAAGTTCTAGGGCTATACAGAGAAACCCTGTCAATAAATAAATAAAATAAATGTGAACCATCTCTTTGTTGAATTACTATCACAGAAACATTACAGGTGTACTCTTGACAGTCCAAATGTACTGTTATAACACTCTGCTGGTGGGCCAGTTTCCAACCTAAGGGAAAGAAGACAAAATTACAGCATTTTTTTATGTTCTAGAGCTGCAACCTTACCAGCACACTTGCGGAGTCTTTGTACTTTCTCAACAGCTTTGCTTCTTTAAAACTCAGTGTATGATTTCTTGCTTCTCGATTAAGGAGTTTTTGTATCTTGGGTGTCAGTTTGGCCTTGGGTTTGAGGCGCACTCTAGAGTTATCCAGAACCAACAACTGGAAGCAGTTTGGACATGTTTCTTGAAAAGTGCTGTGTTCTTCTACAATTACATAAGTCAAATTCACAAGTCAGCAAGTCAGAATGTTTTGTTACCTCAAACAACTGGCATCATAAATGGGAAAAAGAAAAATATACTGATGGCATCAGCAGATATAGTCTCTTGAAGCAAAATCTAGATACGAAAAATTTATAAAAGCAAACTAACAATAATGTACTTTACAAAATTCTCTAATTCCTTCCTTCAGCAACAGATAGGCCTCTGGCCTTTATTACTTTGCTCATTTGTTGCTTAGTTATCAATACATTTACCACACTTAAGCTCTACAGAGTTTTCCTTTCCTTCCCTCTCTCTTTCCTTTCACAGTTAGTACAGCCAGTACTTCTTGGGTATTGTAAATAAAGGACAACCAGATGACATGCAACATCAAAGTGCTGGGCCAGGGTGTGGGACTAAGGAAGAGGTTGGTCTGGTTATTGTAATTAAAGCAGGGTGGCTAGGAAAGGCTTCATCAAATGGCATTTGCAGAGAGAAATGACAGCAGGCAGGAAGTAAAGAGTTCATGCATGATAAGGCATTTGGAAAAGCCCTGGAACCATCAAAGTACACTGAGGTACAGGACAAGTAGATGATGCCTGGAAGATGGGTGGAAACTACTGAAATATTGATCCATGTGGTGCCGTTGAGATGGCTCCGAGGGTCAAGGCACTTATCATCCCCAGAAAACCATCTAGTAGAAGGATAGAGTCTATTCCCCAAAGATGTTCTCTGATTTCTAAACGTTCACTCTCTCGGGCACACAAACACACACAAAAATGTGTGGACTAGAGAGATAGATTGCTCAACAGTTAAGAATGGTGGCTGCTCTTCCAGAGGACCCAGGTTCGACTCCCAGAATCCACTTTGCAGAGCTCACACTTGTCTGTAACTCCAGTTCCAGGGAATTCATCACCCTCTTCTGGTGACCAGGCTCTCAAGTGGTACAGACATGTAGGCAAAATTTATACTTAACAGAATAAAATTTTAATATAAAAGCTCTTTAAGAGACTGGGGAGATGGCTCAGGGGTTAGGAGTATTTGCTCCTCTAGCAAAAGACTCGGGTTTAATTCCCAGCACCCACATGGTGGCTCACAACCGGTTTTAACTCGAGTTCCAGAAGGATCCGACGCTCTCTTCTAGCTTCTGTACGCAAGCAAAGCACAAAACCACATTTTAAAGTAAAGATTAGTCAATGTGTCAAATGCTGAGGGTTAAGACATATTAAAGACTTTGGGTTTTTCATGCAACTGGGAAGCCTAAAACTTTTTTCTTTTCTTTTTTAAATGAGACAAGTCGGACAGGCTTTTCTTTTGGGTTACTGGAGCACAGGGATGGGGCTGAGCTGAG